CTCCTCCTCCTCCTCCTCCTCCTCCTCCTCCTCCTCCTCCTCCCCCTCCCCCCGATGTCTGAAGATCACCAGCGAGATTCTTCACAGCAACATGTCCGTGCGAACACGTTATCCCACAGTGCTGGCGCTAAAGAGGGTGCCTTCTTACTGCCTGTAGCCACAACACGTGAAGTCACAGAGGCACGGTGTTTCAGTCCGGAGGGTTGGACACAGGTACAGCTCGACGTGTAGTGCACTTATATCCTCTCACCATAACTGCCTGCTGTAAACCCAACACGACACAGAAGCTTCCCCGGTCTGTAGCGCCGACATCTTGTCTGGATCCTCCGGACTCAGATCCGATCTGGTGACGTGAAACGCTTCGTCAGCTTTTCTCTGTTTGTCCGTGAACTAATTCAGCTTTAACTCTCCGCCCGTGACCGACTCCCTCCGAGCACCGATGTACGTTGTAAAAGCTAAGCTGCCGTTTTTAATCACACCTGATATTCAAGGTTTTTACGCCTACAGCTGTGTAAGAGTGCATGAAAATGAATGTTTCATTTGACGTCATTAGATCAATAAGAGACTGAATGATTCACCTCACTGACGTGAGTGTCGTGCTGCCGATTAGAACTCAGTAACTATATATAAAGAAACCAACCCAGGACTACTTTTAAATATCTAAATAATATTTTTCACCACATCCATGGGCACCGACGAGAACAGGCACAAGATGATGAATTAATTAGTGTGACTGGATCGTGTGTTTTCCCCCTGCAACTATTTTCCTAACGACGCCGCTGCAGTCGGTGCCTTGTAAGATTCACTTTTATCGCCCGTTTCAATGAAACTGACACGAACAGACAAATATTTACCGGCTGATCAGCTTGACTTTGTTTTGGTTTTTTTTGCTTGAAGAGAGAATGTTGGTTTTTAATGTATTTTTCAAATGAAGGTTTAAAATAACAGTGAGGCTGAACATGTAAGTAGAACTGTTCAACGTAGTCTCCGTGAAGTTTAGTTCTCAAACACAAATGTCTCCTATGAATTCATCTCTTTTTAGGGTTTCTACAGATTTTAATACGTAGAATTTAAGACTTTTTAAGGCCGTCGCCAATAAAATTTAAAGAACGACAGATATGAAGGAAAATTAGTCTCGGTCGAGCTTGTAGTTTTATTACAGCGTGCTAATATCTCGTTAAAAGAACTACAAAACAGAGACTTTACAAACGATGCGTCTCCAACAGAAGTCATTTTAAACACGATTGAAGAAGCGTTAAATGATCGTTAACATAATTAAAACCCGTAGACGTTTTTAGGTTTAAAATCCAGATAATTAAACTTCCTTTATTTTCACCCTGCGAAACTCTTTACTTTTCATGTAGCGCCACCTTCAGGTCAATATTTCAATGTTCAATATTACACCTGCTCTTACTTGGTTAATACA